AGCGAGGCCACGACGTTCGCTTTCGTGTATATGCGTATATGTATTTGAAGGGTCAGCACACTTCTGTGAAGAAGCACATAGTAAATACCTTCAGCTTCATGGGCCATACGCTCTGTTGCGACCACTCAACTCTGCCGTGGTAGCATGAAAGCAACCGTACGTGACATAGCAGCTCACGGTGTGGCCGTGTTTCAATAAAACTTTATTTGCAAAAACACAGGCAGTGGGCCAGACTTGGCTTAGGGGCCTCAGTGCACCTACCGCTGATCTAGACAGTTAGAAACAAACATACTTTGTACCCATCGGCTTTGAATGGCTGTCAGCATCGAAGCATGCGTGTCAACTGAACACTTCATAAAGATTCTGCTTTCAGCTGAAGAAACAAAACAGCCAGCCAGCTGCCTGAGTGCTGTTACACGTCTGCATTTCTTTGTCGAGTGAGCGGTACCTCCAAGCAGCAGTGGGTGACAGTTTCACAGGTTTTGCTGGTGAACCGGGTCCATGTTGACTCAGCAGTAAAACTTTATTTGCAAACACAGGCAGTGGGCCAGACTTGGCCTGGGGGCCTTGGTGCGCCTACGGCTGATCTAGACAATTAGAAACAAACATACATCGTACCCATCGGCTTTGAATGGCTGTCAGCATCCAAGCATGCGTGTCCACTGAACACTTAGTAAAGATTTTGCTTTCAGCCGAAGAAACAAAACAACCAGCTGCCTGAGTGTTGTTACACGTGTGCGTTTCTCTGCCAAGTAAGCGGTACCTCCGAGCGCCAGTGGGTGATAATTTCGCAGGTTTTGCTGGTGAACCGGGTCGGCGTTGACTCGGCCCAATGCTTCGCTGGAGAGCTGCATGGTTTGCGAGGCCGTTTGTGGAAGGCGTGTGGTTTGGCGGTACCGTGATGACCGGAAGCACGAAGCATGTGCTTGCTTAGTCTTAAATGTGGTCTTATTGCCTGGTTGGCTGAGCCAGATTCGCGTGTACGCTGTCTCGTGGGACCGTAGCACCTTTCATTCTGGAAGGACAGGGCTTCCGTCTTAAAGATCTCTACGAAACACAGTTGTTATCTCACGCCAGTTTATCGAGACGATACCCTCTTCTGTCCTCGGAGGTATTGTCACCTTGTCTGGTTATTCACCGTGTGTCATCTGAATTCTGCGGCCAGTTGCGTGTGGAGGGTGACTTCCTTTTCATTGACAAAGATCCACTCGTGGTGTCTGTGAGTGAAGCAGAAATGTGCGTAGGGAAGACCAGTGGCCGAGTGTCCTTTTGCGGGGTTAGTTCTTCTGCATCGTTGATTCTTCACTATGGCGGGGTCAGTTAGGCAGCATCTGGAGACCCGTTTGGTTGTCGAGACTGGGCGGAGGTGAGGTGAGCCACTGGCATCCAGCAGATAGAGGCCAGGGACGCTGGTAAACACCACCCCGCATCATTACAAAAATAAAAAAAAGATCTGTCCCAACTGTCTGTTGTGTGCCATGCTTGAGAAATCCTGCAGCCGAGAGAGTCACCATCAGCGATGCCTCGTACCAAGTAGGTTGCACGCCCGCTGGCTTCAGTAACGGCTGAGCAGCAGACACAGGGACACCAGTGCTCTCCCCTTACACGGATCTTCCGTCAAGGTCACCGCCTAGCTCTTGAATGTCCTCCTTGTTCACAAACTGACACGCTCCGTTGGGCCAGCCGCGAGCGTCTCCCTCCGTGCCGATGGCCCGTCGGGCGTAGGAAGAGCTGGGCAGAACGCTGCGGGAAAGCCGGGGAGATGGAGGCACAGCAGCCAGACCGCCCTGGCAAACCGCGGGGGGATGAGCCTGTTAGCCTCGCGGTCCGATGGGGGAGTGGGGCGCGGGCGGTGGTGGGGTGGGGCGCTGGCAGCTTCACTCCAGTGGTGAAGTGACCTGGTGTCTGGGTCCTTGGTGGTAGAGCAGGGACAGAAGCCGGCGTGCCTCTCTGCTCCCGGCATTTCCTGTGCCCAGAAGCCTAGCAGGAAGTCTGAAAAACAAATGGACTGAAGAAAAAAAAAACCACTGACTTAGAGCCCACGCAGAGATCCACGCAAACAAATACAACCCACGGAAGTTAAGTAGCAGGAGGACCCCTTTGAGCATGAGGATGCCCCCCTTCCAGTCACGATTTACTGTCACCTGCAGCGGGGGACCCAGCTTCTAACCTCAGGTGTTCGAGGTCATGGTGCCCCCCGTACAGCTTTCTCCTGTCCCGTGCTCATTTCGCGTCGGTGGCCGGAGTTTGTTCCGCTCTGTTCTCGGCACACGTCGCACACTGCCACACCGTGAGGTCACCTTCACCGCCCCCTCCCCTACCTTGCGAGAAGCCTTAACTGCATGTTGTCATCGGCGTGTTCTGGAAACATAATCCACAGCCGAGGAGCGTCGTCACATACAGAGAGGAGAAGTTATGCGGCCAAACTGTATACTCGACATTTTAAAACCCAGGTAAAGACAGAAATGCAGGACACGGTCCGGCCTTGCTTCAGAAGTGGGTCAGCACTCCGGTTTTTCTGCAGGTGGCCTGAGCTGCATTCCTGGCTGCTGCTGGGCATGGAGTTGGCATCCACCCCCAGGAGTTAGGAGTTTCGGTCCCTGGGCTTGTAGGTCGTAGAGTGTAGGGTACAAAAATGAATCTTGGAATCGGATCGTCTAGAGTTGAAGTCACATCGTCTAGAGTTAAGCTCTTGGTCGCATGTGTGAGCCTCGGATGGCTTATCCAGCTTCCCTGGTATCCGCCCTTCCCGTGTGTGAAACAGTGAGCACCAGCTCTGAGCGGCTGCTGGGGACATTAAGGTAATGAACACAGCGTTCCGCTCTGCTCACAGGCAGCAATGTGGTCAGAATCTGCTGTTTCGTGTACTTTGAGTAGCCACCGTGTGGCTGCTGTGAGGACGAGTGAGTGGGTGAATGAGTGAATGAAATATGCTGCCGTACACGGAATGTGCGTGTCCCCCAAATTTCATATGTTGGAACCTTGCCCCCGATGCGATGCCATGGGAGGTGGGCTCTTGGCAGGCGGTTAGGTCATGAAGGAGGAAGCCTCATGGGGAGGCCTGGTGTCCTGATAACAGAGACCCACCCGAGAGCTGCATCACCCCCTTCTGCCATGTGAGACACATCTGGAGATGAGATGCCCATCTGTGGACCGGGCATTGGGCCCTCACCAGACACTGAATCTTGACCTTGGACTTCTCAGCCTGCAGAACTGCGGGAAAGGAACGTCTGTTACTTACGCCGCGCAGTCTGTGGTGTTTTCTTATAGCAGCTCGAACGGACTAAGACATATACCAAAACCCCAACATCTCTGCAGTTTTCCTAGCTGTCACTGAAACGTGTTTGTCAGGAGCCCTCGTTAGCGGCTGACGCCGGGCCCCGATCGAGGTGGCCGGTAGAGGTGTCGTCCATGGGGGCCAGGAGGACGTCCCGCTGAGGAGTCTGGAGCTCAGCCCCAGACCTACAAGCCGAGCGACTGGGGCCTGTCGGTCACCCGCCGAGAGGTCTCGGGGCTGGACCCACGAAGGGAAGGACGACATGGAGGGCACGCCTGCCTGCAGAGGGCTACTAGGGCGCTTGAACGTCGTCGGAGTTTTTGGAGAGATGCCTGGCCAAGAGTAGGTGCCATGTGAGGCCAGCTGGTGGTTATATTTTTTATTGCTGCCCTCGGCACAGATGGAAGAGGAGGCAGGGGCCAGGGGGTGGCGTCGTCCGCTTCATCTCGTGACTTGGGGTTTTTCTCGTCTGTCCCTTGCTGGGAACCTGAGTGACGAGACAGTATAGTGTGGCAGACCCTCCCTGGGGGCTGTGTCGCCGGTCGACGCAGGCCGGGTGGTTCTGTGGGCAGCACTGGCTGCGGGAAGGAAGGTGGAGGGAGAAAACGGAAGGAGAAGCTGAGGCCGCTTATAAAGGGCCTTTCTTTGTTTTTGTCCTCAGGGAGCGGGGGCCGGGGGGCCCTTTGGGGTGTGGGGTCCTGTGCCAGCTCATTCTCACAGCGACAGTTTTGCGCAGCCGTGGACAGAGCTCGGGGCGACTGTCGAGTCGATGGCTCCCGTATTCTCTGCGAAATAAGCCAACTACATCTTTTACGTGCTGTGGGGTCAGGTGGCGGGAGATGCACGGGGACTGGATGGAGGACTGGGGAGGGCCGGGCTGGGGCGGGACGCGGACCTGCTTTCGTGGAGAAACAGCGCCCTCGCGTGGGCGTTTTGTGCGTTGCAGTCAGCTTGCGTTTCCACCGCAAGACGCAGCCGCGCCCACGGTGCGGAGTGTGACGGAGGCGGGTGGTCGCTGCTCGTGTGTTTGGCTGATTGACGAAGGTGCCCGCGTGGGGGTGGGGGCGGGGGTGGGGGCAGTGTGCAGGCTTCTCAGGCAGGGAGACGCCGAGGGCCCTGTGCAGCCGCCAGCGCGTAGGGTGAGTGACTGGCGGGGGGCTGCAAGCTCCCAGGAGAGACACCTTGGGGGCGGGTTCCTGGGACCCACTGTGATTGAAGCAGGCTTCATCTACACGCGCAGGAAGCACCGTGACGTCTGCCGAGCGTCGGCTTGTCCCCTGGTTGCCGTGGAGATGGTCAGCACGTGGGCGGGAGGAAGGGCGAATCCTCGGCTCCTCATAACACGGCTCAAGGCCACACCGGCCCGTCCGAGGAGCCTCTTGCTCTTCTCCTTGTGGCTGTGTGTGCCGTCGGGGGGCCGGGGAACACGGACAGACGGACATAAGCACTGAGCTCGTGGCCGGGAGAGAGCCCGGGGCTGGGTCTCTGGACCAGGGTCACTAACGAGGCCGAGTCCGCCCCGCTTCGCGTTTAGTAACACCGACACAGCTCGAGGCTGGAAGCTGCGTTTCCGTCCCTGCCAGCGTAGGTCTCCCTCGGTCCCCGAGTCCCTCTGCCTGCCCGCCTCGCCCAGGTCCGGAGCCGGGTGTCCTGCCCGTGATGCCGCCCTCGGTCCCTGCGGCCGGGCCCAGCCTCACGCCCCCGGCTTGCCTCTTCCCTGCAGGCTTTTCCCACTCGGCGTTCACGTTCGGTATCGAGAGCCACATCAGCCAGTCCAACATCAACGGGACACTGGTGCCGCCCGCCGCCCTCATCTCCATCCTGCAGAAGGGGTTGCAGTATGTGGAGGCCGAGATCAGCATCAACGAGGTACGTGCGCCCCGCCCCGCCCGCCCTGCACACCGGGCCCTGAGGTCTCGGACGGAGCAGAAGGCAGCGCTGCGTTTCCTCGAGGGCTGGGCATCGATGTTTCCTGGCATTGGCGGATCATGGTCGGGGAGCGCATGTGCGGTGCCCATGACGTGGCAGATGCCACACGTGTGTGCGGACGCACGCAGCACGCTTTCAGGCATCGAAAAGTCCTCCAGCCTTTGCCTCCTTGGCAGTTCAAATTCTCATGCGACCAGGGGACGAGGAAAGATCCCGTCCCTTGTCGCTAAAAAGCGAGACGGTCTTTCAAAGTGAGGCACGTGCTCGTAGAGTTTAAACGGGATGGTGTTTTTATGACTCCGGGCAGCTCCTCCTGTTTGCAAAGTAGTCACCCCTGTAGGATGCGACTATGTGGCACAGGAAGGTGACGTGGAAGCGTGCTGACCGGACGGTCCACATCGGCTGCCGCGTGGCCACAGAAAGCAGACACGGGTGGCGAACGAGCTGACTGCCTCCTTTGTGACACGTTCTGAACTTTGCCTAGTTTCCTTATTTCAGACATCGTAACCAGAGTCAGCCGCAGAGATGGTTCATGTAGACTCTGCAGCTGAAGCTCCTGTTTGCCCGGCTCTCCCTAATATGTAAAGTCATTCAGATTCAGGACACTCAAACACTTATTTACATATGCAGCAGACACAACCCCGAGGCGCTGACGTTCCTATAACAAATTTGGGGCGCTAGGGAGAAGACGTTCTGCATTTTTAACTGGGCGTGGACATTTTTTCACTGCAGACGGGAAGCAGAGACTGAAAGCAAGTTTAGAAAAGAAAAATCGGCACTAAACGCTGCCGCCGGGGGTGTAGCGGGGTAGACTCAGCGCGTGCCCCGAAGCCCCGGGGCATCGCGGGCGGCAGGCAGGGCGCGTTGCGATCGGTCAGGCGGACACGTGGAGCCTCGTGCTGAGGCACACACTGTCCCGCAGGGAAGGGTGGGTGTTGCTCACAGACACTTCATCCTGTCGTCCTAGCTTCTGAAGCTGGTTTCTCGGCCTCACCCCTCTTGACATTTGGGGGCCGATGGTTCTTTGTGGGGGCCTGTGCTGTGCACTGTGCCATGTTTAGCAGCATCCAAACCTCCACCCACCGGCTGCCAGCGACACCTCTGTCATAGTCGTGACAACCAAGCCGTCTCCAGACCTTTCCAAAGTCAGCCGAGGGGCACAGTCAGCCCCCCAGCCCCCCACTCCCCGTTGAAAGCAGTGCATCACGGAGGGCGTTTTTTCCCCTGAAATGAGGTAGAATTCCATGTCCTTAATGCACCGATTCAGTGTGGTACTGACCAAGTACGGGGTCCCCCAGCAGGGACGGCCCCCGCACCCTGCCCTGCACCTCGCCCGGCTGCACTGCTCCCACGGGCCAGCGTTTTTCCGCGCCCGTGTCGCCCGGGGTGCAGGGGGCTGACGCCGACGCCGGGGTCTGTTCCCGCAGGACGGCACGGTGTTCGACGGCCGCCCCATAGAGTCCCTGTCCCTGATCGACGCGGTGATG